CTCCCTCCCTCTCTCTCTCTCTCTCTCTCTCTCTCTCTCTCTCTCTCTCTCTCATTATCCAACCTTTTCCTCTTTACCCACCTTCCTAGTAAGATCCTGCCAGTCGAGCTGCCCTGAACCTCTGAGAGCACCGTGGCTCATATTTCTGTACCATTCACTGCATTTTGATGAGAAACTTTCCTCTGTCTTCACTGGGAGGACTGGTCTCTGATCCCAGGCAGAAGTCCTCTCTCTAGTAAATTGACTCCAAGGGTACATTACATTGGAAGCCACCCTCACCAACCACACTCCTGCCCTCACCAGGCACAGACTTCTTAGCCACAGAGGCACAGACTGTAGGAACAGCAGGCTAATCCAGTGCTCTTCCCTGCTCCAGCATTTTCCTATGTGATACTATGGGTCTGTGGTCCTCCAGACAGTCACTAGTCTGACTGGAATTTTGGTTTTAATAAAGTAGAAGTGTTTTATTAGAAAGGAGACTGACCAAGCCCAAAGGGGAGAAAATTTTCTAGGTAAGGTCCCAGATGTTGTTAGTCAAACAATTATAGAGGAGAAAAACCACAGTTATTATTTGAGGATCAAATTAACTCTAATCCTACCTATCTGGGTGTGGGCAAGCCCTACCTCCAGCAGAGCCCTCAGCCATCCTAGATAGCAGTTCATACAACAGCAGAGCTTAGCAGTTAGCCTGTTTATTTGTGACCAATTACTTGGTAACGTTATCTAGGGAAGTGAAACATTGTTGAACAATTAGCAATTTTTTAAAGGTTAACCCAACTGCACCAGGAAGTAGTCCATCCCTACAGCTGATAGAGAATATTTAAAGTTGGAGCAACTTCCTCATGGTTTATACAAGCCGAAAATAATTCTGTTTTTACAAAATCTAGCACAGTAAACTTAACACATTAATCATAATGTTCACAGTCACCATGGATTTTTTTTATGAATGGCTAGGGAGAAAGGTAATCAACTGGTAAAGTAACTGTCTTTCAACGAGAAAGTTATGAATTGGATACAGAGAATCCACATAACAGACAGGCATAGTGGAGTGAATTTGTAATTCCAGCACTGAGGAAGGAGGGAGGCAGATCCCTGAAGCTCGATTGTCAGCCACCCATACCTAATTGATGAAGTCCAGGCCAGTGAGTGTGTCTGTCTCAAAATAAGGAAAATGAACCTGAGCAAGAACAGCATCTACACACACATGTCCACCTACACACATACACACACACAGGGGTGGGGGGGGAGAATGTCAACAGAATAAGCACAGGACACGGTTACAGCAAGTGTTTACAATCATTGAACAATGAACAGTGAGTGGGATCACTGGGTCTGAAAGTCAGTACTGCCCAGCAATAGATGACATCATTGGAAAAGAGGGTCTTGAGGTAGGGAAACAGATGGTCAGTGGAGGGAGGTGCCGTGACATAAGCTATGCTACCAAAGTACACACTCAGCTCTCAGGAAGCCCTGAAGTTGGCAACTTCAGCAGAGCTCCACCTCCCTCTCTGTGAAAGAATGTGAGTCTTTTTCAGCTGAATGTGTAAGCCAGACAGGGAGGTCTCAGAATAGAAACCAACACCAACCCTCAACGCAGTCCCTCCCTTCAGGGAAAAGGCAGGTAGGATTCAGATCTAGGATACGAAAAACCAAGAACAAAGACTATGTGGACCAAAATCTGGAAGGAAATCTGAAAACATCTGCCTTTACTTCCCAGCTGTTCTTCTTTCTAGAGCACTGAGATACCAACACTCTGCATCGCATCTCTTTCCTGAATGTCCCAGCTCAGAGGAGTCCATAGAGAGCTATCACAGTGACCTTGCTCCCAGAGAAGAGGTGACATCACAGGAGGACCATTGGAGTCACTACTCAGGAGCAGGTATGTAAAGGGTTCTAAGCGCAGCTTGATCAGAAATCCTACTTACTTGTGGATTCAAGGGTCGTCTCCTGGTACCAGGGCAGAGGCTCTTCGGTTATGGATTATTTCACTCAGGGGTTGTTCACAGAGAGGCCCTTTTCTGTCTTCTGCACCACAGAGGACCCCCAACGCACCAGCCAGGCCTCAACAAACTTCCCTATCACCCACACAGCCTGAGTTTGTTGCTCTTCTGATGCTAGCTTGAGCTTGGAGGATGAGGGCAGCTTGTGTGACCAGTTTCCTCAGCATCAATGCAGGAACCTGTTTCTTTTGTTTTGGTTTTGGTTGAGACTGGATCACACTGTGTGCCTGTGGCAGGTCTAGAACCTGTAAATCAGGTTGGCCTCAAATTCAAGGAGATCCAGCTACTTCCACTGCTCTGCCTCATAGGGCCGAAATTAAAGGCATGCCCAACAACACCCAGCTATACTGGAACCATTTTATTTATCACAGGAGGATAAATTATATCCAGAACACCCACTGCTATTTCCTTATCTAGAAGGGAACTATGAGAAGCCATCATCAATGTAACCAGCACTAACAATACCTTGACTGTTTGGCAGCGTTTCCGGAGACGTCATAGTCATCAAATCATGGGGAGTAGCCCATTCTTGGGGCTAGAATTTCCATTGAGTAGTCTTTGATTTCTGGGAGCAGCTTCATCCACCCACTCAGGGTATCTCTGTTCAAACTTTACTTTTTATGAACTTGAAAAAAGAACATATTTTCTTACAGCTTGTTTATACATACCATTTTTTGGTTGTCTCCAACAAAGCCAGTCTTATGCTACAGCTCTCTGGCTGTCCTGCTGTTGGACCTAAGGTGTGGGTGACAACACCCAAACTCTCTAAAGCCACCACCAGTGCCATCTCTTTCTTTGTGGGAAAAGCCTCTTTTGACAGGGTACACGTGCATATACGATATCCTCAACCAGCCGTGTAAGTCCAAGCACGTGGAACTTGATGTTTAACATGATAGCCACAGGTTTCTTAACTTCTAGGTGGGTCCACTGCTTCATCTGCTTCACCATCTCCTCTGCCTCTTTTGAGGCAGAATTATCTTTCTGGCCAGGGTTTTCCACACCCTCAAGTCCTTATCAAACTCCTTTTCAACTTAGGCAAGCTGGCCACCCAGCTGCTACAGAGTCTAGTTTCTTTGAAAGGTATGCCACTGGTGTTTTCCAGGGCCCCAGCTTCTGCATTAGGACACCTTTTACTACCCCTCCATTTTCTGCCAAATACAAGTCGAAAGGCTTGGACACATCAGGAAGTCCCAGGGCAGGGAATGACATTAAAGCCATCTTGATGGTGTCAAAAGCAGCCTGTTCTTTTTCTCCCCACTCAAATGGCCTGTCACTCTTAGTCAATGGATAGAGGGGTGCTGCCATCTTGGTGAACCCTGGGATCCATAATCAACAGAACCCCACTGTCCCCAGGAATTCCCTCACTTGTTTGGCATTTGAGGGAGGGGGGATGTGAAACACAGTCTTGTTTCTCACCTCTGACAGCCATCGCTTTCCATCTCTGACCAGATACCCTAAGTAACTGACCTGTTTTCTGCAGATCTGGGCCTTCTTAGCAGAGGCTCTGTAACCTAGATTTTCCAGTACAGTTAGTAATCAACGGGTTCCATCGAGGCACGAGTCTCTGTTAGGGGCGGCCAGGAGAATGTCATCTTTGAATTGAAGAAGGGTTACCTGGGGGTTCTCTGCTCTGAACAGAGCAAGATCCTGGTGTAGAGCCTCATCAAAGATGGTAGGGAAGTTCTTGAACCCCAGTGGAAGCCAAGTCCATGTTAGTTGTCCAGTTCTTCTTGATTCAGGGTCCTTCCATTCGAAAGCAAAGATTGGTTGGCTTCTCAGGCTCTGTAAGAGTCATAAGAAGGCATCTTTAAGATCCAGTACAGTAAATCAAGTCCTTTGTGGGGGGAGAGAGCTCAACAAATTGTATGGGTTTGGTACTGTGGGATGTAAGTCTGTCACCCATTGGTTTCCCTCACGTAGATCTTGTACTGGTTGATAGTCGTTGGTACCTGGCTTCCATACTGGGAGCAGGGGTGTGTTCCATGCTGACTGACACTTTTTAAGTATCCCCAGATCTAGCAACCTGAGGATATGAGGTCTAATTCCATCTCGGGCTTCTTTACTCATTGGGTACTGACAGACTGCCACCAGGGTGGCTGAGGCTTTCAGGACTACATGGACCACTGGCTGGTTTTTAGCCTCACCCATGCCTGTGGTTTCCGCGCATGCCTGAGGGTACTGATCCAGCCACCAGTTCATATCTTTGTGATTATCTTTTGGGTGATGAAAGAGGCAGTATTCATCTTTGAGTTTTACAGTCAACACACATAATACATTTTCTTGTCTGTCTTTCACTTGGGGGCCCTCTGGAAGAAAGTGAATCTGGGCTCCAATCTTTGCAAGCAGGTTCCTGCCCAGGAGAGGGTAGGGGCATTCTGGAAAGACTAAGAACGAGTGGGACACCCATGCCGAGGTCCACTGTTCTTCAGGTGGTCCATGAATATTGCTTATTGTCAGTAGCTCCCTGGATCCTTGACCTCTTGCCAGACAATGGGCCTGTAGTTTGTAGAAGGTCTGAATGTTGAGCCCCAGTGTCCACCAAGAACTGGGTGAGCTTCCCCTCCACTCTCAGGGTTACCCTGGGCTCGGGGAGGAGGTCCGAGCCCCATCCTCCCTAGTTGCTGTCCCCACCCAGAGCCAGTATTTTGTGGCTTGAGGGTTCAACTTGGACTCGGCTGAGCCCATTCCCTCTTCTCTTCAGGCAATCTCTCAACCAGTGCCCTTTCTGTTTGCAATAGGCACACTGATACTTATCCAAAGGCCTCCTTTGGTTGCCTGGTACTCTCTCACTTGGCTCTCGATTTTCTCTAACTACTGTGGCCAAAATTCTAGTCAAGTTCTTTTCTTGTCTTTTCTCTTTCTTCAGTTCCCTAGCTTCCTGCTTTTTCTGCTTTCTCTCTTCTTTTTCTTCCTCAGTCTCTCTGTTATAGAACACCCTTTCAGCTACCTGCACCAAATCTCTCAATGATTTGTCTTGTAATCCACCTAACTTCTGCAGCTTTTTCTTAATATCACTGGCAGATTTGTCAATAAAAGCTACTGTCACTGTTGCTTTATGCTCATCAGACATCAGGTCATAAGGCGTGAACTGGCAAAACACCTCCATCAGCCATTCTAGGAAAGCTGAAGGGGATTCAGTAGGCCCTTGGACCATTTCTCTTACCTTGGCCAAATTAGTGGGGCGCTGTGCAGCCGCTCAGAGACCTGTCATTAGAGACTGATGATAATAGACCTCCAGATGCTCCCTACCATTTGGCATGTTGAAATCCCAAACTGGTCTGGTCAGTGGGAAGGCTGCATATATCTCATTCTGTAAGGGAGTGGGCCTTCCATCTGTCCCAGGAACATCTTTCTTGGCTTCCAAGAGGATACACTGTCTTTCCTCAGTAGTGAGAAGTATCTGTAAGAGCTGTTGACAATCATCCCAAGTGGGCTGATGTGAAAAGAGGAGGGAATCAATCAGGCCAATTAGAGCCTGAGGGTCCTCAGAAAAAGAAGGGTTATGAGTCCTCCAGTTACAAGGAGGAAGAGGATCTAATAAGGGGTGGTCAGCATCTGAGGTGTGTAAGATCTTCTTTTCTCTCACAGGATGTGAGGCTTTTTTCTCCTCCTCACCACCTTTCAATGCAAACACCTTGGTCTTCAGTGGGCCTGAAAGTGAAACAAATGGGAGGACCCATGGGGGTGGAGGGATGGGGGGAGAGAGAGAAACAAATTTTCCCAGACAGTTATATAGGGGATCTGGTCTGGATGCCCACTGGGACCCCTCTGAAAAATTCTTCCTTGAATCTGTCTAACCTTCTCTAGAAAGAAGGATCCCTCTGGTGGCCATTCTGTTTGAAAACACAGCTATTCTGAGGTACACAATGTCTGCCATCTCTGTTTCTTCACTCCTACTGACAGAATATGAGCTCTAGCCTTAACTTCCTTCTAGTGGTCAAGAGTCAGAGATAATGGGGTGGAAAGTGTCTGTCCTATGGTCAAAATAGTTCATCAGTCCAACACAGCACCACAAACAATGGACTACAGAAACAGAATTAGACACGGACAGACTGCCATGAGAGCACAACAAATGCTGGTTGCAAAACCACCTTCAGACAGAGAAGGGTTGTTTCTGACCTTATCCCCTAGACAGACTCTGGAGCATCCTCCAAAGTCTTGTGGCCTGCGGCCTGCAGGTACAGCTACCCTCCCCCGCCATTTCTACTACCCTGGATTCCTTCTCAGAACTCAGGAACTGACCCTATCCCAGGGTCCCAAACAGACTGCTCTCTGTGGCTTACCCAGTTCTGGCCCCTGCCACAAGCACAGAAATCAGGCTACAAAGATGGTCACCCCTGCCACAGGTGCACAGACACTTCACAGACACAAAACACAAAACAAAAGACACACCTGCTCGAGCAAACACCTCTTATCCCTGAGTTGTGGGGTTCTGAAAGAACATATCTTGGTGGGACCTCCAAATGTTGGACCTAAAGATCCAAAACCAGGGGATGCACTCCCCCAGAAACACTAATGGATAGGATTCACTGCAATAACATGAGGTTTATTGATGATAAGATGATAGCCAGTATACTGGAGTTCCCCTGTATGCAGACAAGAGAAACCCTGAGATGAAGCTACAAGCAGCATATATACCATTTTTACAGAGTTCACAAGGACAGTTAATGACTTCTCAGATAATAACCGTAAAGGATTTCATACAGCCATTCCCAGGCCCGGTTTCTAGGTAACTCAAATTTGCACCTTATCTTTTATAACAAAGAGGGTCAGCTTAAGTGACTTCTGTTTACCCAGGTGTACTGATAAACTCTTATCTTGGGCCCTTCTTTCAGGAATGTTTGTTTGAGTCTTTGGAATGTGCTCCTCCTGGGATGTG